ATAGTGCTGTTAAGTGATCAAACAATCCTTGAGTGCCCTTTTTGAGGAGAATGGCTTGTATACCACCTTCTCTCGGTAATTTGTTTTTGTATGTTATATATATATGTGATTACTTCTATTTTGGTGACTGTGCTTCTAATTTTACTAGTATGATCGTTGTTGCTTGTTTATTGTGAATTTTGAGGGTTATTTGAAACAACTGGAAATATTGGTGTGTAAATATGTTTGTTTTACTTTATATAGACATTTACTATATTAAAATTGTTTGTTTGTTTTTAATTATGCACAAAGCTACACAAGGACTGTCTGTGCTCTGCCCACCCCGGGTATCGAAACCCGGTTTCTAGCGTTGTAAGTCTGCAGACATACCGCTGTGCCACTGGAGGCTATATTAAAATAGTGAATATCCATTTCACATCCATTATGTGTTTGAAAACTTCTGCTTTTTGTATGTTTGTTTAAGTTATCTTGTTTTCATGGTTTAAAGTTGGATAGGTTTTGTGGGTGTTATGGATATTTGTAAATCGTTTCAAGTGTGTCCAGAAATTCCTTGGATCTGTATGTTCGTTTAATTTTTAATCAGCTAACAGAACCTGTCTGTTTATTTATAATTTAAATTTTAGCGCGCCCTCTGCGTCGTTCCCTACAGTTCTCGACCATAACGCAACTACAGAAGCTAATGGCGGAATCTTCATCACTACGTTGTTAAGCGTTATTGTTTATACGACACCTTTCCGAATCATTTATAAGCCACTTGGGTAATGTATAATAATGACAAGAGACTCTGATTGTTTTATTTAAAAGTTAGTTTTGTAGTGGATATATAGATATATAAGATAAAGTAGTGTAGTGTTGTAAATTTAGGCTTACGATACAATTGGGTCTGACTCGAGTCGTACTATTTGTAACGCGGCAACTTCCCTCGATTGCATTTACAGTCACGCGCGTTTTTTCTCTTGTTTTGATAGTTGCATGACGTCATTGTATGAATAACAGGTATAACAAATGAATAACAAAACTTGTAGTGGATACTAAAAAAAACACTAGAAGTTTCATTATTATTATTATTATTTTTCTATTAGTATAACACATTGTGATTGTAAAATAAAGATAACCACAGGCATGGTGAGAAAATTGAACGTTTATTTGTTAATTAATGTTTAGGAACATTTTAATTTTAAAAAAAGTTTCCACATAATTCATACTTTATCAGAATTCCTCTTTTACCAAATGTCGTATTTGACGTTTAATGGATTAAGATGTATAGAAAGTAATGTACATACAGTTGCAACAACATGTGCAAAATAAAGAAATAAAAAAGATGATAATTGTTTAATATTAGGCTGTGAACTAAACACATAGTGAGGTTTGGTTTTAATAAATGATTTTTATGTAATTTAATCTTATCTCAGGGGTTAGAGGAAGACCAGCAGACATGAACTACTTTCTCAGTGTCTGTTAAAATTACAGTATGTGCATTACATCACTGCTTACATCAGGTGCCAGACATGAGATTTCACAATGATGAAAGTTGATACACATCACAAAATGGCAATTATGATTGATATGAAGTTTAATTGTAATGCAGATTTCAAAGAAGAAATTAAGAAACATGAGAAGAATTTTTGAAAATGTTATACAAGAGATTCTTGAAGTCTGTAAAAAACTTTGCAGTCTGCCATTAGGTATTAAAAACATTGTAGATATATTAAGTTCTCATTTTTATGAGATTACTAAACTAAGATGCGAAAATTTTAAAATACTGGATTTGTTGCCCTTATCACCAAACTCAGGTGTGGCACCAGACTTTGGTGGGCCATTGACAATAGATCACTCTCCTCAATCCAAATCCAAAACACTACATTTATCAAGGTTATCATCCAATCAAATTACATTAAACTTCTCTTTTTCTAACAGCAAGGTGTGATGAAGGTAAGAAATATTGCTTACAGGAAGAAAATGAAACTAAAGCCACTAATAAAGGTCTGAAAAAAATTCACCATACTGATAGTTTAGTACAGTAAATATGTATTTAGTCACATGTTTCTTGATTTTCTGTTGAGACCCTCTAAAATGTCAGGCTTGGCAGTTGCCAGAGTGCTGATATTGAATCTGCCTAGACCCAACTTTTCCACTGTGCCTTGTCTGTAACATGTCCTAAAACCATATATAATGCAAATTTAATTCCTGGCACTATGTCATCGGTGTGGTAAAAGTATGGTTAACTTTTAATTCTAGTTATATCACAGTAATGCACACATGTAGGTATATCTGTTACACTCTGTAAGTACATGAAATTGGGAGGGTCCAAGAATACAATGGTGAAGAACACGGTAATGTTAGTATTTTGCTCTGTTATCTGTGAATTATAAACCAAACATAGTTTTCAGGATATTTACCATAAAGTGACACCAATAAGAAAGGGAAATTGGTTGCTAAATAGGAATTAGAATAAAGCTGCTAGTGTAATTATATATTATTCTTATATACTGTTAGACCATGTTGTTCAAATTGTTTGAAAAAACATTGAATCAAACACTGTAGTATTGAATCAATGATCTTATATTTTACCTAGGATCCAGTAAATGATTATTGTTACCAGTCTCCTTAACTGATAACATGTTTTTCAGAAGCACTGTTTCTTGGCACTTGTGTATAACATTAAAATAATGAATAACACAACACTAAAATGGGTACACAATTTAAAATATTTTTAATTATGGCCAATCCATGACCTCCAAAAAAGTTGATTCTACATATTTCATCATCCAGTACACATTGATAAGTTTTAGACAAGTAGTATTGAGTATAGGTACATTATCATATCAAATAGCCAAGCATACAGCTCAGAAGTATTCTTTTTTTGAGAAATAAACATATAGTTAAAAATGCTTTAGAATTTGTAGAGAAAATGAAAAGTTAAATAAGGAAGATTTGTTAGTATCATTTGTCATTTTGATGTAGCTTTGTTATTTACAAAAGTTCTGGTAGAAGATGCAATTAAATGTTTTGAAAATTTGTGAAAAAATAAAATTTCAACATTTGAAACTAAAGATATACGTAGTTTAATAATGGTATGTGTGAAGAATATGTTTGTTGAAGTTAACAATAATTTTTATAAACAAAATGAAGGGTTAGCAATGAGGTCCCCACTTTCACTGTTATGTGTTTTGTTTATGGATGCATTTGAAACAAAAGGTATTAAAGGTGCAAACAGTAAACCTCATATTTGGATAATTTATGTAGATGACACATTCTTGGTGTGGAGATATGGTAATAAGGAATTAACAGAGTTTTTGAGCTATTTGAATAACATACAATCATCTATACAATTTACCTGTGAAATTGAGAAAAATAATAGCTTGCATTTTCAAGATGTATTTGTAAAAAGGAATGTTCAAGGTAACTTAGAAACACTTTGTTGTTATGCTCCAACACTAGGAATCATGTCATACTAAATTATAAAAATGTCTGCATTTTATACTTAGGATCATAGAATTTTGAAGATATTGAATACTTCAAAACTGAATTATTAGTAATGAATTATATAGCAGCTAAAAGAGGATTTAACACAAATATTGCAGGTAGAGCAGTAAAGAAACTTGCTGATGTTGTAATACTGGATCATAGTATTACTTTAAAACCTAGTTATTATAAAATTTAAAAGGAAGATTTAATTTTGTCATATGTTCCAGGTTCAACTACTATATTATTTAAATTGTTGAAACAACAACATATATATAAACTGATAAGTAAGATTAAACTAATTTTAGGTAATACTAAGGATAGCATATAGTTAACAGAAAAGACTGGCATTTATAAGATTGAATGTGAATGTGGAATTATTTATATTGGAACAGACAAAATGTAATCTGAAGTATTGTTTAACAGAGAATAAGAGATATGTAAAAAATAAAAAATTTAAAATTCAGATATAGTAGGACACGGACATAAAACACAACATACAGTATTATGGGGGAAAACTGCAATATTGGATCAACCAGAAGGTATTAGAACCAATAATCTTTGTGAATCCTTGGAAATAATAAAGAAAGAAAATATCATGAATTATTCAATACAGACGATGGTGGGGGTTAAGCTAGTTAATTGGATAGAAGAGTGGCTGGATGTAAGAAAACAGAGGGTTGTTATAAATGGAGTTCAGTCAGTATGGATTAATGTTACAAGTGGGGTACCTCAAGCCTCAGTCTTAGGAACTTTGCTCTTTTTGACTTACATCAATGACATAGATGAAGGTATGATCAATAAATTTTAAAAAATTGGGATGTTTAAAAAATGATAAAGCTCCTTAGTCAAATAATAATTCCCCAAGGGTTTTACAGGAGGCTAATGATTGGATATGAGCCACTTGCTACTATTTTCTGTAAGTCCTTGTATAGTGGGCAGGTTCCAAAGGATTGGAAGCTAGCTAATGTCAAGGAAGGTAATAAAAATTGACCCAGTAATTATAGGCCTATTAGTCTTACATCAGTTGTGGGAAATGTTTTGGAAAGTCTGATAAAAAATGCTTTGCAAAGTCATTTCACAAAGTTAAGAATTTTATTGGATAGTCAACATGGTTTCACTAAGGGAAAATCTCGCCTTACAAATCTTTTTGTTATTCTTTGAAAAGGTTACTGCTTATGTAGATGAAGGTAAGGGTGTAAATTTGGTGTATCTGGATTTTCAGAAAGACTTGACAAGGTACCACATAAAAGGCTTGTAAAAAATGATCTCTTTAGGTGTGGGGGATAGGTTAGTTAATTGGATAGAAGAGTGGCTGGATGGAAGAAAGCAGAAGGTTGTTATCAACGGGGTTCATTCAAACTGGTTTAATGTCACAAGTGTGGTACCTCAGGGCCCAGTCTTAGGACCTTTGCTCTTTTTGATTTACTTCAATGACATACATGAAGAAATGGTCAATACTCTAAATTTGCTGATAATATTAAGGTCTTGGATGTTGGTAACTGTGAAGAAGATGCTGCTGCTTTACAAAGGGATTTAGATCAATTAGCAAGTTAGGCAAATAAATGGCAGGTAGGTTTTAATTATATTAAATGCAAGATAATGCATGTGGGTTATCATAATTTAAATTCTAAGTATAATTTGGATTGGAATAACTTTAACAGAGTTATGAAAGAAATGGATTTTGGTGTAATGGTTGATCAGTCTCTTAAACCATCCAAGCAATTTACTGTTTTTAGAGGTAGGGCAAATAGGATTTTAGGTTATTATCTCCAGAAATATTGAATACAAGTCTAAAGAGGTTATAATTTCGCTGTATAGGTCACTAGTTAAGCCACATTTGGGATATTGTGGTCAGTCTTGAGCTCCTTATCTTAAGAAGGACATCAAATTGTTGGATAGGATTCAGAAGCATGAATTCCAAAGTCAATGTCACCACTTTGGGTTTCTCAATTTTGACAGGTGCTTTATCACAGACTTCAGGTGCAGGTGACCCAATGGGAGATTTGTCTACATTTATTCACAGGGAGATTGAATGTTACATGGGTCAACCTCTATCGCCAGACATTGTCCCACTTCCTCCTAAACCTGTGCAGGCTGATGAGGACTTTAATCGCCTGTGTCCACTTCCTCAATTTGCCGTGCCTTCCCATACCTTTCCTGAGGATTCAGTTTGGCCTTTCACAGTTTTTTTGAACTTTATTTCTCAGTTATGTGATGTTTTATCTCTCGCTCTTATTTCTTATGACCTATGTCCTTCCTTACTGCATGAACATTCTTCCCAACCCTATTTGGTTTTTCCCCCATCCCCTGACATTTGCCTTTCAGTTACATGACAGAGTTAGCATGCCTCATCCCCCACAGGCTTCAGATCACTCTGCTCTTGCTTATCATCGTGCAGACTGTCTTTATCTCGACCAGCAACTGTTGGGTTCTGTTTTACCTTTTAGGGGGGTGGGCCCTAAATTCTCTGTTAGATTAACCCATGCCCAGTTTTCCCACCTATGTCTTACCCTCACGACTCTTTTGAGTATCTTTCTACAATTAATTTCCTATCTGTTGCTCTTCACAGAAATCCTGCAGGGTTTTCTGTCAACATCCTCTCCCTCCCTCCTTCATTCATCAGGGTATTACTCCTGTCTGTTTGTTGTTCCCAAGAAAACCAGAGACTGGAGTCCTGTTATTGATTTGTCCTGTCTCAATCGCTTCGTTCACCATGGAGCCCTATCTCACCCTCTGGTGGGCATTTTCTCCAGGCTTATGGATGACCAAGATGGACGTCACCAATGCTTATCTGCATGTTCCCGTCTCAGGACAGTCTTGTCCATATCTTCGGTTCATCCATCACAGGGTGGTATACCAGTTTTGTGCCCTACTCCTTGGGGTCGCTTCTGCACCTTATGTTTTTTTTTAGGTGGTCAGGACTTTTGCTCATCATCTTCATGCCCTGGGGCATGACTAGCTTCTTTTGGCCCATTCCATTGGCTTTTGTCCAGTCTTTGGCATGGAGATCTGGTTTCTCCCATCGTATTGTTTTCCATTTGGCTCAATCTATACGTCCTTCTTCTATAGAAGTATATCAATGGAAGTGGAAAGTCTTTCACACATGGTTCCATGTTCAGGGATTTCCAGCTGCTCAAGTTACTGTGGCTGGTGTGTCCGAGTTTCTCAAGTAACTTTTGGACCAGGTGTCTTCAGGCTCCTCAATTTCAGGTTATCGGGCAGCCTTGTCCCATACTTTTGGCCTTTCCCATTACCATAGAGTCTTTGCTTCACCTTTCCTTACCATGTTAATCTGTTCCTTCCAGATTTGTCCTCCTCCCTGATGACCTACTCTTCTGGACTGGAATATTAATGTGGTCCTTCATTCCCTTACTTTACCTTCGTTCGAATCTCTTTTCCTTGTGTTTTACCTTTCCCTTAAAGCATATTTCCTTCTTCTTTGGGCCTGTGGTTGTTGACGGTCTGACTTTTTTGCTATCGACATTACACGCATGCTTTACCCTCATACTTATTTTCTCCTTTATTCGGATCGTTCCTTCCTCCCAAACACCTTGGCAGTGTGCCCTTCGTTGCTATGTTGCCCACATGGCTTCCTTCAGTGGTTCCCATTCCCAACTCTTTTTTTTCCTGTGGCAGTCTTCTTCGTCTAGAGATCTATCCCCTTCTACCCTCACCAATTGTGTTCGTTGTTTGCATGAGAGAGACATTAGAATCACTTGATAGCTAATCTTGTGAGAGGAGGGAAGTAACTATCAGAAATACATTTTCAGTATAGGAAAGTTATTCATTATTTTAGTACATTTTTCTTTTACATTTATTTTTGAGTTCCTTTCATTGCTATTATTCTCATCACTGACTCATTATTAACAATATTTACTACAGTTGACTTGCAAAATGTCCATAATAGTCTTTAATATTTTCACTTGTTTAAGTAAATCTGCCTGAGACAAATGAGCCAGTGACATAAGCATAATTGTGAGAATTACCAGACCTTTAGCCAAGGTCCAGTACTGTATTACACACACACACACACATAAAACAATTAAATGAATAAGCTTTACCAAATGGTGACAGGGCTCATCATTGAGTGCCTGCAAATACTGAATTATGTTTGATTGCACTTTCATACACAATTTTTGATGGAGGTGGCTTAAGAATTAAACCAAAAGCTCCTTAAGTTATCATTCAGACATTTTTCTATCTTGTATTCAATGGAAAGGAGAAAGCTTGCAGAACATGATTGAGGTTTTTTTAAAAGATTGATAAAAGTTTGGAATTCATAAATCAATATATTTTTGTAGATAAACTACAGGCAGTAACACTAAATAATATAAATTTAAAATATGAAAACCTAGGATATGACTAGGCAGTTTTAATTGTTTAGTAGGATGGTTGACTTATGGACAGTTTACCTTCAGGCATAGTAGAAGCTGCAATATTGAAGGAACTTAGAGGTGATTGGATGAGTATTTTAAACATTAGGGCTAGATATAAGAAGATGAGTTTTTCTGTATTTTATAGTAGGATGGTATTAAAAAATAGTTGAGCTTAGACTTGTTAAGTGGCCTTTCATTATACTTTGGAAAATAAATGAAAGAAAAACCTTAAAAGTAATAAGCCTTCACTCAGAAGTAAATGTGCTTGGAAATACATTACTCATGGTGTAAATTTCTTATGGCACAACTTTACATAGTTTAATACATTGTAAACATATATTTATAGTTTTGAAAACATTTTGTACTTAAGTGCATAAATATAGAAAGAACATATTTTGCTGTTGAAAGTGTTGAATATAATGAATTATGTGTGGTAGGCTTGTTTATAAGAATACATTCTTCCTTTCAGTTTCAATACTGACTCAGCAACAAACTAGGAAGACTGCCAATATACAGAAATATTTCTGAGAATTACATGTACCTGCAGAATAAAACACTTTAATTAAACCATTTTCTGAACTGCTTTGAAAACCCATTGTTTTAAATTTAGGAAACAAGTTCATCAACCTGAACTGCTAGTTTATACAGAAAGAATAATAATCAACTCTCTGTCTGGAAAACAGAATAACCTCTGTATTAGATAGGAAAGAAAACAAGATTTTAAATTCCTTATGCCTGAGACACAAGAACATCAGACATATTTGTAAAAAAAATGCTTCTGAAGGACCTAATCAGGAATGTTATTGAAGCTTGTTTGGGGGCTCTACAATGCATAAAACCCAGCTTGTGGCAATATTGATAAAACCCATTAGAACGATCCAACAAGAAAACTGTATGATTTATTCTAGTACAATAAAATTCTCTCTGGTAGATACAAACATGTGGATTTTCCCAGGATTATATTTAATAGTTCATTATTATCTATGTTTGAATAACTTTGATTTCAGAAATATCTATTATTATTATCTAAGTTCTTTTCTAACATTTTCTTCATGTCACAACTTGTCAAATTGTATGTCTTGCCATCTACTTCAGTTGTGTAACATGCCAGTGGCTAATATAATTTTCAAACAGAGTATATCATAATTCCCTACTCTGGTAAACTAGTTATATAAATTTACCAAATTATGAAGTACAAATAACTTCCCAGACATGAAGTGGGTAAAAATAGGAAACTTTTGAAATTAGAAATACTTGATTGTTAAAGAAGTTAGAAGAAGAAGAAGAATTGTACTGTTGTCATTAAAATAGGTTTAAAACTTTACTATTGCTAAGTGTAAAATCATTAACCTCAGTTATTCCTTTGTTATGGGTATTTAAACATACCAATTATTTTCATTGTTGTTTTTTAATAAAAGTACTTTTTATTTTCTTACCACCTGTAGCTCTCATTCTCTGTTATAACCATTAACTTTAATTAATAAAAGATTGCAGAAAGAATCAGAAATTAAACCAAAAGGTCATAGAGAGGGGGGGGGGAGTATTTGAAGGTGTACTTATTGTCACTTTTTTCTTGTCAGGCAACTTTCCTCAACAAGTACATGTAGAAGACTTAGAAACCTGCTTAAGTTTGTACTTTCCAAGTTTCATGGAAGACATGATGTTTTATGGTGAGGTTTGATTTTGATATTATTTTTAAAATGTACTTAATTTTGTATTTGACACTAAAATTAGAATTTTATCTATTTGTATTGGTTAAGGTTTTTTGTGATGTATCATCTGTTTCTGGACAAACAATTTTTACACTTCATTGAACTGATACTCAAGTGAATTACTTTGTCATATTAGAAGTATTTTCCTTTGAAAAACTTGGATTGGCTAAATTTTATTTGTTTGGTTTCCATCTATGGAACTTTTTTCCTGTATTTTTAATAATTGCAGAGAGCAGCCACTTTCTAAGGTTCATAATGAAACTAGCTAAAATGTGTAATAAATGACTTCTGTTCTTTAACAGTAAGTTTTTCTGGACTGTTTAGTTTGTGAAGCTTAAAAGTAATGTTTAATGGTTCTGTATTTTTCTTTTATTTAAATCAGTTTTCCTGTTTGTGTACACATACACACACACATATATCTACATGTACACTCACTTTTCGTGTGTGAAATCTGTGTGTCCCTCCTGTAAACAAAGTTGTACTTATTATTTCTTAATTTTATTCTTTTATTTATATTTCAGTTTACTTTTATTTGAATTTTGGCCTTCCTGTACATGTTTTCCTTGATAAATAGATAATTTATACTTGGTATTTCTCTGTTTTATGCTCTTTCATTTGAGACTTAGTTTCCTTTCTTTATGTAAAAGTTGCATGAAATGTTTGATGATTCTGTGCTTGTGATATTTTGGTTAAAATAAGTTTTCATTTAAATATATATATTTCCAAAATGGTCTTATCTTCCTCACACAAAGCTATCTCGATCCTTGTTTGCCCTCTAAGCAATGCTAAAAAAATGTTTGCTGCCAGTACAGCAATCTTTATGCCCTATCAGTTTCACACCAATTCTGAACATGTACATATCATGTGACTACTCTCCACCAATTGTATTTGCCATCTATACTGGTGCAGCTAGCTCACTCTGCTATTCCCACTCAATTCTCACTTATTCAATTGGCATACCATTGTTTAGATGTGTGTTTTTTCACATGTGGCTACCGTTTATGAATGTGCTACTTTGCCATTTCAATTTTTTCAACAGTTTTTTTTTTTACTGTGCTTGCATTCATTAGTTTCAATTTTTTTTGTATTTCTTTCCTGTTATTGAATTACAAGAAATCATAGTATGAACTTTTGATAAATGGAAGTGACGACTTCCGATGAATCAGATTCGACTTTATGTACTGAAGAGGTACAGGCCTTAATCTGCAGGGAGCTTCATTCATATATTCATCTGCCGATTTCTTCTTCTTTTAATGTAACAATGTTTCTGAGGAAGAATATAAACAATGAGTAGACACTTTGTACTCTCTTTTTCTGGCATCTTCCAATTGTTGCTGTGCCGCCACATCATTCTCTTTTAATGTAACAATGTTTCTGAGGAAGAATATAAACAATGAGTAGACACTTTGTACTCTCTTTTTCTGGCATCTTCCAATTGTTGCTGTGCCGCCACATCATTCTTTTTTTGTGAAGAATTGTTCTTGTTCCCAAGGGATCTGTAGTAAGTTTCTCAACATATACACCTATTTGATATACCAGTGGTAGGTGCAGTTAAGATGCCCTTTGTGTGGCTTTGCACTTATTTACACACAGGTAAGTTACGTATTTCATGTCATCAGTGCTCAAACTGATATTTATGTGTCATTTGTCATCTTTGTCACTTTCGATGAATTGGACTTTATATTTTTGGTAATTTTAATTGTTTTGCACGTTCGTTAATATTATGTACTATGTAGACTCAGCAAACTTCATGGTATTGCTAGTTCAGTATTAATAAGTACTTTACCTAGGTATGTTTAGGTTGCATGTCAGTTACATATTACTACTAGTAACATCCAATTCGTTGTCCTACTTGAGTAATTTTTTTTCTTGTCATTGTTCACTATGTGCCTTCTTACCCCCATTTTTGTCAGCGTAGGACATAATTGTCCTTTGTCATCTAGGTTAGCTTAGAAGAATTGTAGGTTAGAGATTGTTCATTAATGTGTTTTCTAGGTAATATTCATCAGTTTACACATTCATTATTATTATTATCACATTTTATGTGGACTAGGTACATTTAAATGTTTTGTCTGTTTCAAATTTATAAGTACTTTGTTAACTAGGTATCTTTAGGTAGTTTGTACCTTACATATCATTGTTCTATTTGAAAAAAAAAAAAAATTTCCATCATTGTTAACTATGTGCCTTTTCTTCCCCATTTTCTTCAGTGTCAGACTTAATTCAGTATCCTTTGTAGTCTAGGTTAATTTAGAGGAATAGTAAGTTACATATTGATTACTAATGGGTTTTCTAGGTAATTTTTGTTGCACGTTCATTATTATTACATACTTTGTGTAATCGGTGCATTTAAATGGTTTGCCTGTTTCATATTTATAAGTTCTTTATTAACTAGGTATGTTTAGATAGATGGTACCTTACATATCATTACTACTAGTAACATATTTCATTGTTCTATTTGAATTTTTTTTTGTCATTGTTAGCTATATGCCTTATCCTTATTTTCATCAGTGTAGGACTCGGTTATATGTCATTTCTCATCTAGGTTACTTTTGATGATTGGTAACTTAGATATTGATTATTAATGTGTTTTCTGGGTAATTTTTGCAGGTTAGCACTTTCATTATTATTACATACTTGTGGACTAGATAAATTTCTATGGTTTGTACATATGATATTTATCAGTCTTTTGTTAATTGGTTATGTTTTTGATAGTTTATACGTTACATATCATTACTACTGGTAATATATATAATTCATTGTTCTATCTGAATTTTTTTTTATTTTTTTTTGTGGGTGTTAACTATGTGCCTTATCATGGGTGGGATTCCTGATGTCAGGGTGGAATTCCATTTATTCTTTCCAACGTAAGTCGGACACAGCCTTTTTGTCTTTGGATTAGGAGTGAGCAGTTTACACGTCCCTCATCTTTTCTGATGTCTGAAGATGTTCGATCTCTTTGGTGATGTGGGGTTCCTTAAAAGTACTCATTACCATGGATCAGGCTCATATAAGTTACCTTCAGTGGACACCCCTTGATCAATGGAACTTCTCAGATCCCTGGCTTGGTGGTTAAACAGCATTTGGATCATGGTAGGAGTGCTGATTACTCCACCTTGTCTGGATTTTCATCTGTTCAGGTACTTGTCTTTAGAGGGTTGGGGTTCTTACCTCTATTCCTGGGTGATTTCCAGTCGATCAAGGAGTCTTCTCTCCATATCACGTTTCTCGAACCTTTGGTAGTTCATCAAGCTTTGTCCAACTTCCTTCTTCTCCATCAGGTGATGGTGGTTATGATACATAACCCTAGTTTTGTTTTAGGTAGCTAGCTGTTATGAAAAGGTCAACACAGTTCTTGTTCTTTGATAGAAATTGTTAATATCAGAGCATATTTGTTTGTATAACATTGGGTAAGATTTATGAAGTCTCATTTAGAGTTTTTTTACAATTTAGTTGGGTTTTTTTAACTTTACTATGAGAAAGATATCAGTATGTCAGAGTGTTGAAACAAACTATTAGAATAATACCTTGTTTAAAAATTCCAAGCTAAAAAAAAAAGAGAGAGAGAAATAAAGTTTTGGACTTGTTTTCACTGAAACTGTAGTATGAGACAGCTTTATGGGGAAAATTATTTTATGGTCTTTGTTTTTCATGGTGTCAAATTTCTGCAGGAAACTTGTAAGATATGTCTCAGGCCTGCTGTGATTTTTAAACAGAGATTGCAATTACTTTTCTATTTTTTAATTCTGTGATGTTTTCTGTATGAACAAACATCAAGAATTTTTTTGCTTCACTTTTTCTTCTGGTCAAACCCACCATAAGAACTTATAGACATGCTTGCATCATTCCAGGTGTAATGAATCTCTTTTTTTGAACAAAATTTTCTGTGAATGAGTGGTCCTGATACTTGTAAACTTTCAGATGTAGGAATCACTTTGACTAAACACCTTTGTTATGTCTTATAACACCAGGGTTTCTGTCTTTTCTTCCTTGTTGCTGATGTAATGTGTGATAATGGTGGTGGACCTCTGTTACAAGATTGTTTGTATCATTATATGTATACCTCTCTTTCAATACAACACGTATCTCTGCACTGCTAAACAGTCCTAACAAAGAAAAAGTTTAAGGATGTGATCTCAAGGAAGTTAAGTAACATTAAAACTAAAGATAAACTAGAGTAAGTCTCATTACTTGTACAGGTTTACTGATTTTGAAATGATACTGAATTATTTTAACTGTTCAATTTCTGTATGTAAAGATGTGTTGTGGACATGATAACATGTGGTCTTTATGTGTTTTATAATTATGCTCTTTGTTAATGTAACAATATGATTATCAGGGAATTTATTATAAATAACATGCTTCAGTAGTAGCAAGAATATGGGTTGGGTTTAGAATATTTTAATTACATCACTTTTTAACAGCCAATGTATTGGTCCTCATATTGAATATTCAAAGTTTTCAAAAACTCAATGTGCTTAAAAAAAAAGATTCTGTTTGATGGCATATTAAAATCACATCATTATGTGGTAAAACAATCAGAAAATTGAACTTAGATATAGTCACTATCAGACATTCAAAGCATTTTGAAAAAGTATCATTAGCAAATGGTTTAACACAGTAACTTGGTGTGTATAATACCACGTTATTGAAGTACTATGTCAAAGTTGTAGGCAAGAGGGCATAATCATAAACAGTTACTTTCTTTTTTTTCTGTTAAACTATATTCATACCTTTTTGAATTTGTTAACACAAAACTTTCACACTCATTTGGTCCTGTGAGCTCATTACAAGGTTTTGGCACCACACATGTAATGGTGTTGAATCTTGTGCTGTACAGTTGCCCATTTTTTAACATTTGATTACATTATTAACCAAGACTGTTGTTTGCAGTTCTGATTTTAAGCAATGATAGATTATCATTCCAACACATCCTACTCTGGAAAATAATGTTTTGCATGATCTTCATTGGATTTATAAGTAGCCAAGTACTATAGTTTCCCATACTTTAATAAATCAGCATATAAAACCATCAAACTTTCAATATGACTTGAAAATTTAAGGAAATGGATTTTTCTTTTAGTTTCACACTTGTTTTCCATAGTTATTTTTAAGACCTTTGAGATAACTTTCAGCCTTTATTTTAGCTTTTCATGACGGACTTAAACCCTGTTACTAGATAACTCTTGGAATTACATAATTCAAGCAGACCATCAGAGATTTCAAAAAACTTGGCGGTAGCTGGGATTCTTGAAAATCTTCATGTTTTAACTAATTGGCAAGAAAGAATAAGCAGTTGAAATTGATTTGCTAAGTGTTTGTACAGCCAATGAAACCTTCATCCTCAAACTGTGGAACTTTTTTGTGATTGGAATTTGGTTTCTTGATTTTCTCCTTTTGATTGACTATGATTTTTGTTCCACAAAATGTTTTCTATGTCCTGTCAGGACTGTGTGTTGTTATCTTGCAAAAACATATCTTTTTTGGGGGGATCAACAGCTTGCCTCTTTTCTCATGTATTTATTTCATGATAGAGGCTTGCCTGCTTCCTCTATTGTTATCTACAGCCCACTTTCAGGCTTCACAGCAATCATATGCCTCTCTTTTTCCTTGCCTTTTTAGAATCTTTTTGATTATGTTGCCCACAAGTACCTAGACATTGTCTTCAGTGAGAAATGAGTCTATTCTTAATTTGCCTGGGTTCTCTTCCTTTTGAAGCCATAGTAAATCATTTTTCCATCTTACATAAAGACTTTTCTGTTGTTATTTATGTTAGGAAGGAGATGATCAGACATTTTTGCCTTTGATGTTTCTCATACTTCATTCTAGGAGAGGTCTATATTTATGTATTAGTAGAATGTGCCTACCAAAGGCTTGGGCTGTGAAAGAGGGTCACCCATTTGTTTCTCCTCTTGTGTTGCCAACTCTGATTGACCCTGATTCTTGTTCCACAGAATGTTTTCTATATCCTGTCAGACCTGTTTGTTGCTATCTTGCAAAAACATGATCTTTTTGGGGGGGTCAGCATTGTTTGCACCTTATGACAAATCTCGTAGTTTCTATTAAAAAAAGGCTCCATTATAAAGCTGAAATATCCAAAGCACATCACTCTTCCCTGAGCCATCTAGTGTACAAGAACAACTGTTTACCAGCACCTGTTTCACTTGCACAGAAATCCATAGTCATTGCTTCTGGCAACTTAACCAGTATGGAGTAGCATGAGTACTGTCATTCTTCAGCTACTTGAGGTGTATAACAGTTAAACAACTATGTTGTGGAAAGCAACTTCTGTGAGTATTTCAGATGAAGATCCTTCCTGATTATGTTGCATACTGCTGATATGTAGACAGCTTTTGCCATTGAAATTTGTGTTTATAGATTCTCATCTTCTACAAAATGCTGCATTTTCTCACCATGGTTGGCGTGTGGCTTGTTGCAAGCCTTTTTCTTGGTGGTCCTTGTTCTACAAGTGGATCCATGCACTTTTGTTTTCTTGTGCCATTAAGTACCAAAGATATTTTTATCATGTGAATTTCTCACTGTGAATGTATGAATATTTAGTGTTGGAAAGAGCTCTTACATACTTTGCTTGAAGGGATCAATTTTTGATGGCATCACATTAGCTACAAGATGCCAGACATCATCAAAATATAGTTCTGATACATTATGTTCCATCGTGGACTTATGGCAGTTGTGATCTTCATGTGACTTGCATTTGCATAGTCAAAATCATTTTCATATAATTTACTTAACTCTGTATATATTTTCAATTCATGTTTAGTGGCACTAAAATTATAGTTACTGTATTTAATGTTAATTTTCTTGTTTACTTTTTCTTTTTATATTCAGAAGTTTTATATAGTGATTATTGTTATTATTAACTCTTTTCTTGTGAAATTTACTTCCAATATTTAGTGAGTTTTTTTTTTCTTGTCTTGTTTAAGTCATTGTTTTCTTCTGTCTGTTTTATGTTTTAGATTTGCTAAGGACAAATTAGTGTTTTTGCTGTTGACCAAAGAATTGTTAATGTGCATGTGTACCATAACTTTCGCTCAAGTTCTGAAAGCAGCCTACCATACTATCCATCATGTCTGGTAGCGGAAGTAGAGGTATGTTCCTAAAGGAATTGTGTACTAGTAAGGAAACCAACAGGTAGATTTGATAATGTGAATATTCTTCTTAACAACAATAAGATTTTCTATAATTCAAATTTTAGTATTATACATTATTCAATTTTGTAATTTAAAAGTAAGTGTTAAAAAACATTTAAACATCGATTTTTGTGTGTCATATGGTATGTTGAATGCAGCACTGGTTCATATTAGATGTTTGTGATGTAAAAATACAAAGGCTATAGTTTCTTAGGAATTAGGAACTCAAATTGCCGATATTAACAAGCTAGAATATAAAATAAGAACCTCCTGTCTTTTCTATTTGCTAAGATATCACTCAGGTACTGAATCAAACACAGTAGCCCCTCTCACCTCTTTCCATTTGTGGAAATGGTCCCATATATACACTATATATATTGTCTATGTGAATAACCAATGGAAAGTTCAGAATGTCCCCCGAGTGGCTTTCTCAGTGATTTTCATGTGTTAGGGCACTATCTCATTTTTTCGAAACATACATTTCAAGGAGGAAGGTTGTGTCTTTAGTCTGCTCGAAAAATTTAATATTTTTTAGACCAAAATACAATTAGTTACTAAACTTGATAAATTATAGTGGAGATCTATAGTATCGATATAGTAATTTATGATTTTTTTTGGTTATTCAAATGTATATATATATATATAACACCTAAAAAAATTATTTTGTTTCACATCCTCCATGTGAGAAATTTCTTAAGGCTCAGCAAACTAAGAGAAGCATCAACTGTGTACAAAGGTTGTAACAACAAGACATAATTGTTTGCTTCACTTCTTCATTCACTGTTGAATGTTTTAAGAAAAATAAGTTTAAAAACTTGTTTGTAATGAGTAATAATCTATATACATATATAATGTATAATAATTGAAATGTGACTGTATTTTACAAAATATTAGTTCTCTAAAACACAGTCAAGATAGGTCACTTTGTAAAGACTAAAGATCAGTTTTATATTATTGGATACAGTAACTTGAGTGCATGTGTGCCTCATCATTCTAACCTCTGTAATGTTAGCCAGTCATGGCTGAAAGGCCAATATAATAAAATAATACATATATATATAAATGTATAATGTTATGAGAATTAAGATATTTAGACTAAACATTTGTGTTTTCGTGTTATAATTTATAGTCATTCTAGAATGAGAAAAGCATAATTTATATTTATTTCCTAATTTTAATGGTGGCTACAATGTTGGTCAAATTGACAGACCCCATATAGTTAGGGTAGAGAAAATGACAGACAAAATATAATGTTTTACTGAAAACAAACGTTTGAAATGTATTTAGAAGGTTTTAGAGATTACCAAATAATATTTGAGATTTTTGAGACAAAGAATAGTTTTTTTAATCATAACATGAAAGTCATTTCGTGCTCGGACTATTAACGAAACAGACTCAATATTTTCACAAACAAATCTTTAGTAAAAATACTGTATTAAAAAATGATTTTTTGTGTACAAAAGATTGGAATCATTACTAAAAGTCTACCAAATTTTGTGAAGATACACGTCCAACATTAAAAGTTCTAGTATAAATACTTAACGTGTGCAAATATGTATACAAACTCGTGTATTTTATACCGAGCCCATCGTGAAAGGGTTAATGTGTTGAAGGATTTTCAGTGACCTAGTAAAGTTGTTTGTTGTTTTCCAAAAGATTTCTTTAGCGATGCAACACAGAAAAGCATTATAGAAACGATGAGCATACTTCATATTGTGTATTCCTCCAAGTCATCTTGGAAGTGTTTCCTCAAAAATCTACTCTTGATTTAATGCAAGATTTACTATAAATGATGTTAGATATTTTTTGTTGGTCTCCTTAAAGTAACTAATGTATCCATCAAAAAGCACCAGGAAAACTAAATTATTCAGGAAATCACGTTTTTTTTCACAATTTCTATTCAGTGATTATAAAATAAAATGGTACTGCCCATGTTTACAACAGAATTTTAACTAGAAACAAAATTATAATTTTTCAGAAACATTTATGCATGGCTTTAAAAAAAAAGGTTTTCTAGTATAACAGGAGAACTTAAAGTAATTACATTTTAAGCACAAAACATATTGTCGTAATTATTCACATGCACCAGGCACAGTTGTTACTGTTACAGAAACTGATCAAAGTGAAGTGTCCTGCAACTGTCAAATATAACGTCAAATGTATTGTACCTAGAGGATTAGTGGTATTTACTAATCAAAGGCCCTATTTATCAATTATGTTCTAGTCAGCAGTTCTGCCAGCCAGTTGCCTTCCCCTCTAGTCAGCAGGACAAAATTAGTAACAGTGACAGATAGCCTTAGTAACTTGGCCATAACAAATATAGAGCAGTAAACCTGGATACATTTGAGGTAAAAAGAAAACATCTTATAAGGCTAAAATTGGTCAGGGCATAGATAGCCCACTACTTAGCTTTGAACATAGCAACAAAGAAACATAATAGCAATAGCTCAGGCAAAGTATAATTTTCATAGCCTTCAATCTTTATTTGGTTACAGAGCCATGAAATAGACAACCAGACCCCCTTGTCACAACCACATGTCATGTGCTCTTTTTCAGAAATTGCCAATAGTTCTCTCTGATGTTCAATACTATATTATTTATAACCAATAGAAAGCCAAGATTTTCATCTGTCAAGTGACATATTATATTATGTTGTTTTTTCTAAAGAGAATTGTAAATTTCACTTTCAGTTCAAACTTGATTCCCACAGGATACGTGCCAATGAGCTTAGAGGAAGTTTTAATGTCTCTTGTCACATAGCTAGAAAGCCAGAAAAATTGTGATAGTTATGGGACATTGTCTTCTTTTTACACATTATTGTTCTTTGTTGCATTATTTGATTAAATATAACTTATTTAGTGCATTGCTACCAAAAGACTTGTAATGTTTACTAAAAGTCTGCGAACTTTTGTGAAGCTACACAAAGTCTATTAGAAGTTGTAGTATGGAAACTATAATGAGTAAAAAAGGGTTACTGGCTTGGTTGAATCAATCAACTATGTAGCGAGAGAGTTAATAAACTGTTCTTAATTATGTTTTGCAGACTTGCATTTTGTTTTTGATTACAGGACATGAAATTAAACCTATAGGTAATGATAAAAAGTGTATGATAGACTCCTAAAAATAAAAATTTACAGAGGAATTATGTCTGTTTATTATTTTTATTTTTAACTTTGTTTTCATAATAGGATCATCAAGTAAAAGTCGAAACAGACCATGTTGTGCTTGGTGTGAAGAAGCTAGAAGGGATCTTCGATTTTCAGTCACAGTTGGTCATACAAAGAAGGAATTCTGTTCAGAGTCATGTCTTGCAGAATTTAAAAAAGCATATTTAAAGGTGAAGAAGTAACACACATTTTGTGGTTTCTTAACATTAAGTTAGCAACATGCCTTGGCAACCCTTTTATGAAACATTTGGTATAAAACTGGAAGCAAAATTAATTTGAGAATATTAAATGCATACTATGTATATATATATAGACACACACAAATGCTGGATTTTGGGCAGTAACTAGATTTAGATTAAGAATTATGCCTCAATACAACAGAGACAGAAAAAGAGTGTGTGTGTGTGACTATAGAACTGTTGAATTGTGTTTTTGTACCATTAAGAAAAAAAAGATCATAAACATTAATCTTTTTCAACACAAACTTATAATAATTTTGCCCTGTAAATTGATTTTGGAATGAGTTGACCCTTAAGACTTCCTACTTCTGTTAGTCTGTGGGCATCATTGGTCTGATATACTTGCCATTGACATTTCACACACACTATACTATTCCACCTATGTTCTCCTTTATCTGGATTAGTCTTTTCTCCCCAAAACTTTGGTGGCTTGTGAAGGTAATTCTTCCTTCTTGTCAATTTCACTTTCATCTATATCCCATCTTTATTCCCAGTCAAATCTGAATAGACTTCTATGTCTCAAATGGGCTCTTCATGTTACTTTGCCCACACAGCTTCTTTTCATGGTTCCCATTCCCGCCTTTTCATCCCCTGTTTCTGACTTTTCTCCTTCTACCTTTGCCAGTTGGGTTCGGCAATTAATTCAGTTGACATATTCCTCCATGTCTTCTTCCCGGAATTTGTACCAGGTGTTGTCTCATCTCCATGGTCCGTTGGATGAAATTCTGCAGCCAGACATGTGGACTACACCTCATTCGTTCATCTCCCTTTATTTTCATGAGGTGGCTGTTTTTTTCCTTGTCAGGGTACCATTTTCCACCTGTTGCCATCCTTAAAACTTTGGTGAGGCTGTGACTGGCTAAGTTATTATTTTTATATTTCTATAATTTTTCATGTAGGACCCCACTCAGTGGTGAGCGTTGCCTGTCTAAGTATACTTCCTGTTTCTCAAATCTGCACTGTATGGCCAAATTGTATACCCATAGCCCATAATGCATACTGTTGAGATGGGGTGTTCCACAAGATCACTCATAGGGTGTTTCATGATATGTTTGCTTCATAATTTGCTCATTCTGGACCATACTCACCCATGGACATACATGGGTAAAGCAGAAGGAGATACCTGCCTATCTCTGCCATCTCTTCAATTGAATAAATCAGAGGTGGTCTGCTTTTCAAAAAAGCTTTTTTTGTGTTCACCCATTGCACTGTTTCTTGTGTCGGCATTCCTCCAGCCTCTACACTGCATTTAGTCCCACCTTGTTCTTCAAGTGGGGTGTGGGAGTGCTTGCCACTTTCCAGGTCTGAGCCGCTGGGATCGTGGAGGGTGGAGTAGTCCTCCTGAATGTGATGCTTCCATTTAGTTGTGAGTAGGGTTGTGGTGTTCTGTTGGTGTAGATGGCATTTGATCCTTTAATCATGCACTCCATTTCTGCGTGTTGGGTCCTGCAGGGTAAAGTTGCTTATATTTTTTAGGTGTGGTTCTCTTCCGTGTGATGGAACCCGGAAGTTGTCATTGTGCTCAAACTTCTGTGTATTCCTGTCCAGGGGATGATGTTGTGCATATCTACAAATAAGTATGCTCCATCTCTGTGAGGTGGGTCCCAGAGGTTGATGATGATGTGTGCAGCTTCTGTGCATTTCTCTCTGGAGGGTGAGGTTGCTTATATTTTATAGATACAATCCACTTCCGTGTGGTGGATCCAGAGGATGATGTTTCTTTGTAGTAGATATGTCACATTACAGTTCACCCCGTTGGTTGGGAACCCTCATCCTACCATCATCTGGATTTCGGTTCCCAGTGAGTGGTGTTGGATAAGAGCTGGACCAATGAACATTAATCCTTGCACGTGTTGATTGTGTTTCCTCTTTCTCACTCAATTTGCCTCAGAATCTCCAGCTTCTGCACGGTTCTATCTGGACAGTGAAGTTGCTATATATTTCTAGAGGCAATCCATTTTCATGTGGTGGATCCAGAGGGTGACATGCACTTCTGTGTGGTCCTGTCTGAAGGATAATGTTTGTTGGGGTGATGGTTCTTCTTCTCACACTCCACCTCAGGGAGTTTTCACCATGAGTCAGAGGCTCTATTCCTGATACTGCTTGGTTTTGGACTGTCGTTGACCAGCCATGTACAGTCTGTTGAACCCTCGCCACACTACACTTTGGAGCATAGCCATTTTAGCTTTCCCTACATTCCTGTCTGTAGATGGTTCTTCTACAGTCTTTCTTATATGGGTTTGAGTTTTTGATATACTGTAGTTCAGGTTCCAACCCACTCAGTATTCTTTCCCTTTTTGATTAAACTCCTCTCATTTTCTGCCCATGTATGTGACACCTCTTTTCACACTGGGTGCAGAGTATACGTGGTTTAGTCTCCCATGTGTGTTCCTCTTCCAATGGTGATCATGCTTCTGGGTTGTTCTTCAAACACTTTCAAAGGATACTTCTTTCTATTCCTCACACCTGTCCCTCTGCCTATTCAATGTGGTATTCTAGCTATACACGTGAGAGGAGCTAATGTACCATATCGGAAGTTATTTTCCCATACTGAAAATATAATTCTGATAATTACTTACCTCCTCCCACCCTTCCTCCCCACTGAAAACAGGTGCTTCCTTTTCTGCTTAATCTAAAAGTGATAGTTCAGAAGAATCGAATAGAGGGAGTCACGTGTCAGGACGGTGTGTCATACTCATATTGGTGGAGGATTGTCTCATAATGATTTGCATGCAAGTTGCAATCAAACCATGTTGAGTGGGGGGTATGTGTGAATTAAAGTAGGTTTTTGGCATGCACAAACATTTTTGCATATGGAGGGCAGCACTGAAAGAGAATGGCTATATATGTGAGAGGAGATAAGTACCTATCAGAAATATATTTTAAATATAGGAAAATAATAACCTCTGATATCAGCTTCATAGTAGAAAAGCTGTGTACAAAATTTAAGAGGGTGGTATTTATTAAAAAAAAGTGTTGATAATAGTTGTTGGGAGTTGAGAATCCAGAATTTGATCTAAACATAGCTCCTGACCTAAAATTCTTAGTGAAAGACTCAGTTGTTTTATTTATGGTTTTGAGAATTAGTCCTTGTTCATTTCACACTGAGTAAAATATTACTTAGAATTTTTGAAGGTAAAGTATGGCATGTTTCTGGCATAACATTAGAAAATTATTTTGTTTAAAAAGGGTTAATTAAACTTTAAAGTTTGTGCCATTTAGGGTAAGATATGTATACATTTTGTAAAGCTGGTATAGATCAAAAGCTAAGTATGTGAAAATTACTTGACAATATGATTTATTAAAATAAAGATATTTATGAGCTTTAGTTAGGGGGTCAATTTAGCTACTAAAAAGTGTTGATGTTTAACTATATCCTGTTAGTGATATTCTTAATGCTTGTTTTAGTAAATAACTAATCCTTTTAGTATTCTTCTTGCAGTTCAAAGCTTAAACTTAAAGGAATGCAATAAAGAGTGTATGTGTGATTTGGTATCTTATTTTTTTCAGGTCCACTAGCATTGTATGTATCTTATCTTTCATTTTCTATAATTCCTTTCAATACATGTGTCATATTTGATTTTCTATTTTACAGTGTCCTTCATCACTCTTATCCAAATGAATTTTTTTTTTCTGTCTGTGTATTTTATGGTTTTAACCATTTTTTGTGTTTCATTGCTATTAATAAAAATACAGTATATGCTTTATATTTAAAACAGTCTTTTATAGTTTCTAATATAAGTGTGATGTTTAACTGTTTTGCAGTGCCTTTCATTTGTAGTCTTAATACAAGTATCTATCTTTTCATGGAAGAATGTTATCAATTTTCAGGTATCTTGCACATTATGTGACAGTGTGATCCATGGGTCTCCTGTAAGGTTAGAAGAACAAGGTCATGTGAAAGATTTTTGTAGCACTGACTGTCTGCAGAAACACAGACTAAAAGAATGCAGTAATCCCCAGTCACTGTCAGACAAGCCTAAAGGAAAGCAGTCAAATGGTGCACAGTATCAGTATGAAAGTACAGGTAAATACCATCACAAGTATTGTTAGGTTTAAAGTGATCTGTTGTGTACATTGTGTTTAAGATTGTACATGTCTTTGGTTTAATTATAAAGTGATTTATTTCACTTACACTGGAACAAATGAACTATTTTTGTGAGATGTACAAAAACTGTGTTTTTTGTAAATGGAAAAAAAATTGATGATTGGTTGTTCTAACTTTGTTGATTTCTAAGTTGTTGTTTTAATTTGAATTTTTTGGTATGTTTATTTGTATGAAGTTCAAGAACTGCTTTTAACAATGTGATATGGAAAAATATAATAGTATGTGCTTATGGCTGTGTAACTAGTTTTTATGTGTTTCATAGGTTACTTTGACTGGGCTGAATATCTTAAAGAAACAAGTTCAGATGCAGCACCTGCTTCTTGCTTCAAGCAGGTAAAAAAATGTAGTTTATTTAAGTAGAACTGATAATAGTCATTTAAAGTAGAAAAATTATCATCCTTTTTTTTGCTGTTTTGTTATTCAATCTTGTTTCTCAACCTGAATAAAACAAACTACCAAAAGGAAAATAACTAACTACAGCCACATAGTTTTTAACAAAAGCAAAACTTTTTTCTTTTCCCACTTCTCTCTCATTTTTATTCTTTAGTTCAATAAATCCTAAAAATACTCACTTATTTATAATTGTTTATCAAAACGCAAAGACAAATCCTTATGCTTTTTACATTCTGCTGTTATTTACAGGCTGTGTTAAAACTTGTATTTGTGTAATTAAAATTTGAAAGTAAAATTGTCATATAAGTTAACATTATGTAGTTATGTAAGATTAATAAAAAAATTTTTAAGTGAATGTATAAAATTGTCCAACCCCTCAATTTATGGAAAACTGAATACAAACACTTGAAAAAAAATATTGATGGTTTTAACTGTCCTCACATAAGTAGAAAATGAAAGACTTTTGTGACACTTAATGAAGCACAGATGTTTTGTTTAATAGAAAGAAAAATTTTTTATAAAATACATAATACATCTTTAAAAGGGGAAATGATGTAAAAATTGTAGAACAAAACTAGAAATATACTGGAAAAGTCATTAACATCAACAAAATATAACATAGTACAAACAGTTATTAACATCAATAAAATGCAGTAACACATTAGAAGCAGTCATTAACACCAGTAAAATTTAGTAACATATTAGAAACAGTCATTAACACCAGTAAAATCTAGTAACACAGTAGAAACAGTCATTAACACCAGTAAAATCTAGTAACATAGTAGAAACATTCATTAACACCAGTAAAATCTAATAACACAGTAGAAACAGTCATTAACACCAGTAAAATCTAGTAACACAGTAGAAACAGTCATTAACACCAGTAAAATCTAGTAACATAGTAGAAACATTCATTAACACCAGTAAAATCTAATAACACAGTAGAAACAGTCATTAACACCAGTAAAATCTAGTAACATAGTAGAAACATTCATTAACACCAGTAAAATCTAGTAACACAGTAGAAACAGTCATTAACACCAGTAAAATCTAGTAACATAGTAGAAACATTCATTAACACCAGTAAAATCTAATAACACAGTAGAAACATTCATTAACACCAGTAAAATCTAATAACACAGTAGAAACAGTCATTAACACCAGTAAAATCTAGTAACATAGTAGAAACATTCATTAACACCAGTAAAATCTAATAACACAGTAGAAACAGTCACTAACACCAGTAAAATCTAATAACATATTAGAAACAGTCATTAACACCAGTAAAATCTAGTAACACAGTAGAAACAGTCATTAACACCAGTAAAATCTAGTAACATAGTAGAAACATTCATTAACACCAGTAAAATCTAATAACACAGTAGAAACAGTCATTAACACCAGTAAAATCTAATAACATAGTAGAAACATTCATTAACACCAGTAAAATCTAGTAACACAGTAGAAACAGTCATTAACACCAGTAAAATCTAATAACACAGTAGAAACAGTCATTAACACCAGTAAAATCTAGTAACACAGTAGAAACAGTCATTAACACCAGTAAAATCTAGTAACACAGTAGAAACAGTCATTAACACCAGTAAAATCTAATAACACAGTAGAAACAGTCATTAACACCAGTAGATTACAGATAATTTATTATATGTTTAACGAACTTTATTCTTATTAAAGTTAGCATGTTTTTTATGTGTACATGTTAAGAATTTTGAAGTTTAATTACTGGATGTTTTCAGATTATTAACTTCAGCCCACAGCCATTCTCATTAAGTTTAATTTTGATTTGAATCTGCATATTGAGGATATTTAAACTAAGTTTCTAGTCCTCATAGATTAGGGAAAGTAATTCATGAAATTAGAAATCTAATTGCAATATTGAAAACAAAAGAATTTCCATGTAAAAATGTTTTATGAAACATTGTCATGATAAAGACTTGCCAGAAATTGATTTATAAACAATTATTTTTCTGTTTTAAAGTTAGAAAATATCCCAAAATATCTGAGAATTGAGTGATTTTTTTTTCTCTTTTCAGATAAAGGCTTAGTGCCATAAGATATTTTTGTGGCATAAAACTTTCAAAGGAATAGAGAATTCAAAGTTATAAGGATGAAAATATTTGAACACTGACATTTAAATAAGATTCCCAGGAATCATTTGCCTGTAGATGTTTTTAAAAATGATTTTTTCTTTAGTTTTTGTAGGTTATCCTTAATACAAATAGGGGCCCGGCACGGCCAGGTGGATAAGGCACTCGACTCGCAATCTGAGGGTCGCGGGTTCGAATCCCCGTCGCACCAAACATGCTCGCCCTTTCAGCCGTGGGGGCGTTATAATGTGACGGTCAATCCCACTATTCGTTGGTAAAAGAGTAGCCCAAGAGTTGGCGGTGGGTGGTGATGACTAGTTGCCTTCCCTCTAGTCTTACACTGCTAAATTAGGGACGGCGATCCCAGATAGAGCTCGCGTAGCGTT